CACTTTTTCTTTTTATGTCTCTTGAAAACACTTCTGAGTTCCAGCGCTTTTTAAACTATATCAAGGCATTAGCAATCTAAAGATTAAAAATGAAAGAAACTTAAGAGGATAGGAATTATGTTTATCCTTCAGGCATTTCATTTTCTCTAAAGCAGGAAGTGAGATACCCAAAGTCTCTAAGACACTGATATATTAATTGGCCTGCTTGGTAGAGATTAAATATTCACAGGATCCACTGAAGTGATTAAATTGCCTGGTTAAAATCCACTGTGTTCCCACATTCTATTGTAGAGTGAAATACCAACCAATTTAATCACTTCTGCTAAGATAATTCATGAGGCATCATCAGTCTAAAGTTCTCCAAACTGGGCTAAAAAGTTACAAAAGCCAAGAGGCTCCAATCTCAGAATCACATTGTCCATTCACCTACAACTTTAGGCACTATTCTGTTTTCCAGTGCCATAAGAAAATACCTAAGGCTGTGTACCTTATAAAGAAAAATGTTTATTTTCCTCAGAGTTTTGGTAGCTGTTCCATCTATTCTGCCTCTGGGATAGCCACCTTCAGCTACATTATAAGAAGGCAAAAAAAGCAGAGAGAGAAAGAGCCATGTGTAGAAGAAGCTATGCTTGTTGCAGGGACTTTTTTTAAGTAACAATCTACTCACTAGATAACTCATTCCATCTTGTTCAGTATTAATCTCTTCCAAAAGCACTGCCTACCACAAGCTACACATCTTCCACTAAGCATTGACTAAATATTCCATTACCTCTCAATGCCACAAAAGTGGGAACCAAGCTTAGCACATGTACCTTCAAGGGACACACCATATCCAAACCAAAGCAAGACATAAAACTTTCTTGGAAACTATTATAAAATACTTTAAAAATAGAAATCACATTTTGGCTGGGCATGGTATCACATGTCTATAATTCCTGCACTCGGAGGCTGAGGCAGGAGGATCACTGTGAGTTTGAGGCTAGCCTGGGCTACATAGTGAACTCAGAGATAGCCTGAACTACACAGCGAGACCTTGTCTCAAAACAAACAGAAAAAGTATTTTGCATAGCCTTGAAAAAGATACTACCATTACTCTTAAGAAGGTTACTCTCATGTAAGACAGCAGCCTACCACCAAGCCCTGGAAGAGTGTCTGCCACCTTTATTCTGCAACCCACTGCAAATGCTCTTGCCTCAAGCCTCTGCTACACCTTCCTACAGAAGGCTCCCCCTCAGCTGAAAATCTAGCTTTCTTACTTTCTTGAGTGCTTACTCAAAAGTTGTCACACTGAAACTGTTATTAACACCATAACTGTAATTTCAACTTCTTTCCCTGGTACTTCATTTCCTTTCCCATGCTTTTCTCCCCCTACCATTTAACAATTACCTATTATACTATATATTTTATTTATTCTATATCCTGACAATCAAAATGAAAGTTCCATAATCCCAGGGATTTTTCCCAAATAGAAAAATGCCTTGCAAACTCAAATTTCTGGGTATCAGTAAATTTTCCTGAAAATACTACTGAGATGTATTACCGGATACTTATTTCAAAATAATTTCAGGTCAAGGAAGAAGGAAAGGAGATAAGGTTACAGATAGGTTAATAGTCTTTGGAGTTAGATGCTAGCTTCAGGACGATTCATTATACTCTTTTGCTTATAGTTATGTGTGTTTATAATCATCCATTATAAGCATTTAAAACAAAAATTTATAATATAATTTACCCTCTGATCTGCACCTTTCCTCACTCACTAACCAGAAATAATACATGAATGCTGGGCAAGATAGAAGATGTCTCCTTAATCATTTCTTTTAGTTAATCGCCTAATGAGAGAAGGGATAGGACAGGCACTACCAGAACAAAGAAGTCACAGTTCCCAAAGCATGGCTCTTATAAATACAACAAAAATGTCTTGGAATACTACTTTGGAAAATAATTTTCCATGTTCCCATACTTCACGACCCAGAATTTTTAAAAAACAAAGAGACTGATAAACATGATCTTCCTGATAGTGATTATATCCAGACAGGAAGCAGGCTTTAATTCTTACATTCGGTGGGTTCAGAGAAGTTCAATTTAATTTTTTGCTAAACCACACAGGCTACACATATACATGTGTACATCAAACATCATATAACAGTTTTTTATAAACAATTATGTCAAATAATTTTATTTAAAGCATGATCATGTATATGCTTATTTCAAATAGAAACTAAAATTAACTACAACGGTTGAAGGAATTTTGTATAACCTTTTCTGTCTTACAACACAAGCCATGGCACAAGCCTGACTGCACAGAGAAAACTAAAGAAGCTGGGTTATTTTAACCACAGGCAGCTTCAGTGGCTGAGTCAGATGACCTTTTCTGAGAGCATGTGCATGCTGAGATGCTGGCAGGGGACAAGTCATTACCAGTCTCTTGAGTGAAGTACTCCAAGCCTTCCTCCTAGCTGTCCTACTATAAGGTCCCTTAAACCCATGTAAAAGCAGGCTACTTTCCGGAGAAACCCAAGATGGTGGACGATGTACAGAGGAGACTAGCGAAGGGCTCATGGAGAGTGGAGAGGTTAACAAGTTCCTCCTGAGAAAGAGCCAAATGAGTTCCCTTCACATGGTTAGCAGTCCTTGTTGCTCCTCATTATACACGTATAATACAAAATCCAAGAGTTACTCTTGGCTGGTTTTGCTCTTAAACTTGTGAGATTTATCAGAGAAGACTTCACCCACTCAAAGAGAGGTAGCTCCAGAAATAACACTGTCTGGGCTAAAGAGGGAAACAACTCTGGCATGTGTGCCACTATATGCACCCACTTGTACTATTCTTCCCAAGCAACTACCCATTTCCTAAAGAGGGGGCAGATCACTACTTTGTGGAGAGGCATGCAAATGGCTGCAGGCTTTGAGAAAGATAAAAATAATATTTATATTGATTTTGATGAAAACAGACACCATTGGTCACCACTTCAGTTTTTCACAACTCATCAGTTTGTTTAGAACACATCCGGAAGGGAAAATCTTATTAAAAAGGAGTCATAGTCCCCTTTTATAGAAACCAGAAATAACTGATATCAAAGGCAGATTTGATTTTTTTTTTCCTTTTCACCTGATATAAATATATTGGTTTCTTTCTGACCCAAATCATTTATTGTAAATTAATCACTACAATTTAAAAATACATACAAGCAAAATAAAATGTAGTCAGTGGCTTGGATGTTCCTTTGTCATCCTGCTTCTAAGTCCCAAAGAAACGTGAGATGTCTAAGGATATCACCATTCGTATTTTAGATATTTATAGTTCTATCTTCCTTAAAACTCAAAGCAGAACTCAAGTCAACAGGGAGAAAGGCTGAAAAGACGCTGCACTGTGGAATGCAAGACACTGGCAAGAACACCCCAGAGACAGGCTGCAGCCTAGGCTGTGCTACCAAAAACCTGCAGTGTGTTCATCTGTAAGGAAAAGGAGATGAGCAAGAGTTCCAAACAAAAAATTCTTTGTCTACATGTGAGATCTGTCCCTGTAACAGTTCCACCTGCTTAAGATACTACAGTACTGGAGTGGACGGCCAGTCACCGTGTTTAGGGAAATACATGAAAAGCTGCATGAAATCAAGAGGCCACTGAATAGTGTAAACACTGTCCAAGAGAAGACTTAATGAATTCAACAGGGCTAAGAATCATAAGATGCTGGTTTTCTCAAAGCCAAGACAATAATCAGAATAACTAGCAAAAACAGCTGGGGAAAGAGGAACAAGCTAAACAAAAATCTCCATACCTGCATTAAAAAGGACCACACCTCTGAAGAGTCGAAACATAGTACAGACACAAAGACCAACAGCCAGCTATGCCTCGAAGACATCTCTGAGGAACAGACCTTTCCTAGGGAAGCCTTGATAAAGCTATCCACTATTAGAAATAGTAGATATGGGATACTGGTGATAAAGCTATCTCCTATTAGAAATTTATAAGCATCAACACCAAAAATTAAAGTAAAAAAATAGAAAATGATTCTATAATGTATGTATGTCTTGGTTACTTTCCCTGGTGGAGTGACCCATACCTTCATTCCTGAAAGCTCTGGGCCATTTCTCATTGTGCCTATATTAGGTTGCTGTAGTTTCCCATTGATTTTAATAACAGGGCATGGTAATACTAAGAGGGGCCCTAAAGGATCTCCTGCACTCCACATATATTCTTTCTTTCCTCTATTATGGAGTAGTAGTCCAATTTCCCCTTGATAATCTGGGTCAATTACCCCTGACAACACTGTGACTCCCTTTTCAGCTTGTTTCCTCAGAGGCATGAGGAGACCAAAATGACCAGGGGGAAATCTTAGCTTCCAGCGTGTGGAGGTTTCAGTCCATACTTGGCAGATTACAAGGCAGACTGGCACACGGCAGAGGGCTACAGCTCCTAGTGCAGAACACAGCAAAGCAACAAAACACAAAAGCCAGGAATGGGGGAGGAATGGCCTCAAGCACTCTTTTCCTCTCCCTTACACCTGCAAACTATCCACCCCAGGGCGGGTGCAGCTCTCACACCCATAATCAAAGTCTAAAAGCCTGCCCCATGGCCGCAGGAGGCTTTGGGGGGACACACAGACATAAACTGTAACAATGTACAATGATGAAATTGTTTAAAAATATATTTCTCAGACTGTATCCCTGCCAAGTGAAGCATGACCACACATACATTTATCTGGGGGCTTATAATGATTTTATTCTAAAACCAAAGGAATTTGATAAACTGGTCCCTGTTCAGATTTACAGAGAAACATCCCAGTGAGGTTCCCATTTTCAGAAAGTGCTACTACACCGAATATTTTCATGTATTTAAATTATATATTTAAATAGGACCCCTCCATATTCAAAACAAAACACTGTCATTGTTTATCTTCCAGAAAACAAAAACACTGTCACACTTTTTCTTGAACTAATATATAACATCAAGGTAAAAAAAATTAACAGTGGAAAGTTAGAAATAACCTCTCCTCTTACCTCTACCACGGTGGTTTCTGCAGCTTTGCACATCGGCAAATTGAAATTCCTTGCACTTTTCCTATTAGATACGAGGGAAATAAGGAAGAAGAGAAAGAAAAACAAAAATAAGCACCTTCTGACTTTAAAATGTTATAGACTCGAAGAATTTCTATTAGCACAGAATCTATAAATCTTTTTAAAAAGAGTGCATCATGATTTTCATTAATAAAGTCTGTAACTATTTTATAAAATTACAAAGTATTATGGCCACTTCATTCAATTTATATAGTTTTTCTAAAGGGGTTGAATGAAAGAGAAGCAATCTTTTATATTGGACATATGAAAAATACACAAAAAGTAAAATGAACGTCCACTCTATTTGTAACAAGTTTTCCTTAATTTTGCAACAAAGATACTACTTTCTTTTGATAATTAAAGATTTCACTAAACAATCTGTCATTAAAGTATTAAAAAAGGAAAAGTAGTGAGTACTTTATATGAGAAAGTATAGTAATTACATTCTCTATTAAAAAGCAGCCTATTGCTGAAATTAACTGGAACCTTTACTGGTAATCTGTGAGTCATCTATAGAGATCATTCTGGAGAACCATTTTCTGATGAAATTTTCAAAGTACAACACCCACATCAGACCCTGATGTGTAAAAATTTCAAGAAGGTATTGTATCATTTTTACTGGTGATTTTTCATTTCCAAATTCTTTAATTAAGACACTTCCCTTAAAAAATAAAATAAACCATAAAAATTAAAATGTATCTTTCTTTCTGGGAAAATAAACCATAAAAATTAAAATGTATCTTTCTTTCCGGGAATATATGCCAATTGAAGAATATCTTTCATAGAAGGAAATCAACCACTGCTACATTTTACTAGCTCCTTGAGGCCACTGCTGTTTCTTTTGCTCAGATTCAAAGGTAAGGACAAAAGCATCCCTGTGAAAAGAGTGCTATGAACTTTTACCAGTTGCAGGTTGGCTTTCACCTGGTGTCCAGGCATCAAAATCTGCTAAAGCAAAGTAACCAAAGAAAAAGGGGTCCAAGGCACTCTCATTTTAACAGCAGCCGAGATAGACCTCTGTACTGGGTCCTTCCACTATGAAGGAAGTCAGCATTTTAAGAATGTAGGTCACTTAATCTTGGATGGTGAAAACTGTCATTATACACCAAAGCTCAATGATCCCAACATAAAGTCAGAGCCTACAACAGCCTTTGTGCAGTCCTTAAATACCAGGGCCAGCCAATGAAGCAGATTCATTCATTTAAATAATTTAAATTTAATAATTTAAAGAATAATTTTCATCAAATGATAACTTACTTCATTTCCATTTGCTATTATACAATTTCACTAATCGTCTCTAAAAAGTAACTAGACTGCAAACATTATACCACTGCATCAAATAACACAGATATGACATAAAATGTCTCCTATAATGGTCAAAAGTAGTTATGCTTTTCAAAATTGGCTGAATCTAAGAAACTGGACTATTACTATCATATAAGTTCTTCAGAAAAATGAAATGGAGTGCCGCTGAGAATTTAACTGTGATTAAAACAAAACTACATTTGCTAAGGATAAAATAGTATTAACTAAAAATAGCAAATAACAATATTATCAGAAAGAAAATGACTTCTAGACCCTAATTGGTATGGTCTTCAAAGATGATACACCTATGTTTTTATTGTTTTTGGGTTTTTTTTGGGGGGGGGGTTGGTTTTTTGAGACAGAATACTGCTAAATTCATTAAGTAGTTGACTTGAACTTGCAGTGATCCTCCTGCCACAGCCTCCTGAGTGTTGGAATTACAAGCATCTACCACCATGTCTGGCTTTTATTATTTATTGATTGATTGATTTAGGTAAGGTGACAAATATTTTGAAAAACTCTAATGTATGCAGTCAAAAACTACAAAATTTTCAAAACACAACTACATAATGTATAAATCTAAGACACTAAATATGGAGGATTTAGTATACTTAGAGTAATCAAAAGATGTTAAAAATCTACTAAGCCTGTGGCTATCCAGATAATGTGAATGAAAATTAAACATTATTAAGGATAAGCAACTTTTCAGATAGAACCTTTATAAGCATATCCTGGGAGACAGCAGCAGGCTAGATAAAACCTGACCTAAATTCTTATTAGCAGTATCTTTCCAGAATATCAAAGTAAACTTGACATTTTAAGATAATGTATACAAACAACAATATCAAAATCAGAAGTGGGGACTGCTGTCCTTTTTGTAAGAAATCAGCTGGTGCTGACACAGACAAATACCTAGGGAAAAATATTGCACGATTATGTGCAAGAGTGCCCAGACCCAAATATTTAACAAGTACAACGTGATTATCAACCCACCAGCACACACTGCCTCAAGTATATCATACAGCAGGCTCCACATTTTTCTTAGGCTTGTTCATAGATAATTTATGGTTTCTGTTGCCAGTATATACACACACAACATACACATGGTTGTGTATGACTGTAAGCTCTTTTTAGTGAGTATTTAAATATTACATTCACTATGATACCTTTTTCACAATCGTAACTTAGGAAATACAGACCTGGGTGCTATTACATTAACACAGTAATACTTTTTAAAAACTACTGCAATACCTAAAAATCACATTTCCTGCTTGGTCTGCTTTCCAGGCTTTCACCAAAGCAAAATCCCCTGTAATTGCTTCTTCCAGAATAAACTGCTGGCCATTAAACTCCCTCACCTGCAGGAAACAAAGAGAGCATGGTCAGGCTTTTGCACAGGTCTGCTTGACTGTACTATGTGCTGGCACAGAGGCAGACAGTAGGGATACAAGCTAACAAGGAAAGGTTTATCAAAGGGGCGGAATCTCGACAGAGGATTCTTGAGTAACACTAGGCAACAAAGACTGTGAAAGGACAGTCTTACGTACAGAGTCGGGGACAGAATGCGAAAAGGCACACTGATGACAGAAAGTTTGATGCATCTGAAGAACTAAGTTCTATGGGCCTGAGGGGTAGACTATGCTAATATTTTACTGTTTATGTGTATAGGTAGCATATGTAATATGAAAAAGTCCCTCTTTCTTTCTACCCCAGAAAAAACCCTATATAAGTTACATGAAATGGCCTACGTACTGTTTTTTGAACATAAAATAGTTGAAAAATTCATTCACCTTTACTCCTCAATCTGTAATCTATAATCACCCACAGGATTTTAATCAAGATCTATAGCACCAGTAAATTACTTTTGAGAGAGCTAATAGACCATATATTCCCACCAGTGAGCATAATATTTGCCTCCTTTTACTGAACTATTCATTTACCTCTTAAAATAGTTTTTTATTCTCTTCATAAAAGCTCTGCGTATTTTCCTTAGGCTTATTCAGATACTTCATGATTTCTGTTGCTATTATGAATGTTACATTTCATTTTATTATATTTCTTCTGTGATTGCTGATTTAATGAAATGCTACTGACTTTTGTTTATGTTTACTGCTTTTTACAAATTTTGGGGGAGGAGATCATAAAGCACAACTCTGGCTTTTTCTTCTTGGGGATTTATCTCTGGAAATTAAAACAAATGAGTGTGGGAAAAACAGCTTTTAGCTTCCAATCCCTGCCCAGAACGGAGCCCTGCGAAGGCAGAACTTCAATCTCATTCCTACGGCACCCCCTAGTGGAATATCAGACTGAGAGCATTTTAGAAAAGGCTTCAAGAGAAAGTTTGAGTATATTTATTTCTTTGTAAACTATGGTGTAAAACAGAAATTCTTTCTTAAAGGAAAGCTTCTTTAAAGATATTATTCCAGTTTCCTGCTATAAAATGAACCTGGTGTATGATACATAAATGCAGATCTCATTAATATGATATTCATAAACTATCAATATATCATTATTTTTAAATGATTTACATACTTCAAAAACCTTTATTATTACCAATTATGATATTTTGCATACCTAGAAAATGGAAGTAAGTATTTGCAAAACACAGGGCAAAATCAAGCAATTAGCTTTTCTTTCATATCCCAATTATATACTTTCTTGATGTCTACACAAGCTTTCCCTGTATATTAGTGAGTCTAATACTTAGAGAGAGAGAACTAGTTTTATGGAACTAGCTGTTGTATTCACTTGAAAGATTTGTGCATTTCAGTCTTCTTCAACTTTAGGTTCTTTCTTGAATCTACTCTAATGAGATTTTCATCCCCTCTGTTCTAGTAAAACCACTCCTTAGGTTGCCAATGACCTCCATTTCTGCAAATCCACTGGTCAGTTCTTGTACTACCCAGCCTCTTCACACTTTTTGGACTAGTGGATCCCCACCTCTTTTCTATAATGTTCCTTGACTTTCAAATCATCAGACTCCTCCAGGCTTTCTCTTCACAACTAGTCATTCTCATATCTTTACTGTCTTCCTTCTCTTCCCAATCTATCTGGCAAAGAAGTGCTCTCTATCTACATGCAGGCCCAGGTCACCCATCTAGTTCTAAGGGTTTAAATGTCATATGCTGATCCTCCAAAGTTCCTATCCCAGCTCTAAACTCTCACCTACTTAGAGCTCCCCATGTATCTCCTCTTGGGTCTTCTGGACATCTCAAATGTACCACATCTCTGACGAACAGAGCCTTTTGATTATTCTATGCTTTGTGTATCTAAATGAGCATCATATTTGTTTTTTTTTTTTAGATCCTACAAGCAATCTATCAGAAAATGACATCCCCCGCATGGTGCTGGATTTATAGACACATACAGAATGCAAGTTATAGGGACATGGAACCTTCCACCCAGATTTCAGAAGAAGTCTTGGGAGGCCAGGCAGGGTGCTCCTGATAGGATAGTGTGCAAAGCTGTGAGAGTGAAGTCAAAGATGCAGTGAAGACCTCAAGAAAGTTAGAGATGCCAGGAACAAGAAACATATATTAAGGAAAAGTACGGGGGGTAGTAAGAGAACCACAAATTACCCTGGGTACTGGACATGGAACTACAGGATTTAGTATTTGCCCTGCTGGGTTTCTTTCTTGCTTTGATCTGATTCCTTCCTATCCCCCCATTTCTGTCTTTGGAAAACAGAATGTTTACCCTGTGCCATTTGTATGTTGGAAAGGTTTAACTTTCTTTTTGATTCTTACAAAAGCTCTCAATTAAGGGATTGCCTTCAGACGCAGAGGAGACTCTGGACTTGGACTTTTAAGCAATGCCAGAGTTGTTAGGACTTTGACAACTCTTAGAGATAGCCTAAATGCATTTTGCATAATGAGAAGGACATGAATCTTGGGGATCAGGAGCAAACTGTTATGGCACAGATCTGAAATATCCCTCAAATATCTCAAGTGTTTGGAAGGTGACTGACTCATGTGTGCCCTATGGTTGACTTCCTGTTAGGAGGTAGGGCTAGTTGGAGATGGGTCACTGTGGGCAGCTTCTCCCATCTCTCTCTGCTTCCTGGATGCCATGGGTTGAGCACCCTTTCCTTTGGCATGCCCTTTTGCCCTACTGCTTCTGCCTTGGAACCAGCCAAACATGGACTGAACCATGAGCCAAAACAAACCTCTCCCGCTTTAAATTCCTCAGCCAGAAGAAACTGAATAGTACACCCCAGCTACCCACTGGAACACCACCTTCCTGGCCATTGATTGCTCTTTGCCCTTGACTTTCTTGCTGTTTCTCCACAGCACTCCCACTGTACATACTATGTATTTGTTCAATCACCATCAGTTCTTCCACTAGCAGGTGGACTGAGTCTATAGAGACCATCCATTTTTCCAGTGCTTCAACTATTGCCTAGTAAAGTGAAAGACCTTAGTAAACACCACTCTCTCAACTACGGAATTTACTCACTTCCTTTTCCAACCATAATCAAGGGCAATAAAAAGCTAAGAATAATTGTAAATACTTTATCATGTTCCTGGGGGATTAGGACAAAATTACAAAACAACTGGTTTCCTGCACCTAGCTTCAGGCATAAATGTACCCAGAAAAGATTCTAGTGTATTCATATTTTCCCAGGGTGAGCTAATGCTACCATTTCTAATAAGGTATCTAAATGTTTACCCAATTTTTCAGGGCACTTTTATTTTATATTTCTAAGATTCATTTTCATAATTAGACTCCTTTATGAAAAAACTTTTTAAATCTAATTAGGCATTAAAGGAAAAAGGAAGACTGTATATAAATCAATATAGGTCACTCAGCAGAAAAGCAAAGCTCCAGATGGAGGACACAGCTGGGGATAACACTGGAGTGAGAAGCATTTTCAATGACCCCTTACCTTCCCCAGAACATGGCAGAGCCAGTACCCCCAGAGGCACAAAACTTACAGTGTAAGAAAGTCCTTCCTTTACTATATTCACTTTCTCAAAGTATAAGCTCAGTATTTTTGCAATCCCTAAAACAGTTAATTCTTTTCAGCCATTTGGACAAGAATGGAAAAGTACTAAAAATTAGTAATGAAATACTGACCTACGTAATTTTTAAAATTACCTCAAATCTGAGTATCTCAAATATCTATATCTAGCGGTCTCCCCTATGTACTATGTGTGCAAAGTTGCTGGAGATGGGGGAAAATGGGAAGATGGGATGCAGAAAAGAAAAAGTAAAAAGGACCAATATGCTGTATATGCATATACCAATATCTCACAAACACATAATAAATAAATACATAAATAAATAAATAAATAGGGCTGGAGATGCACCACAGTGAATATATTCATTATGTATCACAAACATAATAAATTAATTAATAAGGCTGGAAATGTAGCGCAGGGGTAGAGTGCCCCTGGCGTCAATCCCCAGTACAGCAAAAAAAAAAAAAAATTTAATTTCTTGGAATAGAGATTTAAAAATGGAGTAAACTACATCTCTAGAGTCAATCTTTTAATTAAAATAGAAAATGCTTCATTCAAAAACCAAAGTGCCCCATCCCTCTCAGTATTTTAAGTAAATCTAATTACTCAAGGAAAAGCTTGTTCAAGATACAAAATATAAAGTTGATAATACGAAACCTCTATTTCATTTACAATTATAACTATAACCTGCTTTTCCAGATTTCAAACTTATGTTTTCCTTTGCTTTTCTTCTTCAGTCCTATAAGGATCGTGAGCCTGAGCATGAAAGTTTAATTCCCTATGAATCAAACAACTTCTCTATTTTCTATATACACATCATCTTATGTGTTACAATCTTTCATAAAATCTTCTGTGTTAAAATCTTCCATAAAATCAGTTAACTAATCTTTACTAGTACATTATATGTGAAAAATAGCTTCTTTTCTTTTTATGTATTCTAGCTTTTCTATGTGATTTTAATTAATAGCAGATAATATTCAACTTTAGCTACAAGCTTCATGCAACATATTTAAAGAAATGAATGCTTCTTTTCACCAAGGTGATTGTACCCAGTGAATCCACCCAGTGTCCCGTGCAGACAATACCCTAGCATTACTCAGGTGGAAGTATGTCTTACCTCTCTTGGCTTACTGGCAATGGCAATGCTGCCATCCTTGTTGTATTTGATGGGTGCTCCTCCTTCTTGCACCAGGGTCCCATACCCTGTGCTGGTGTAAAATGCAGGAACTCCAGCCCCACCTGCACGAATCCTCTCTGCAAGCGTGCCCTACAAACAAGCAACCAGCACTCCATAAAAATCCGCCAACTACACACTTGTCTGGGGACACGAAAGTATTTATAGACATGGTTCCTCTCACTCTCTAGATACTTGTAATTCTAAGAAGTACCCAGCACCAGAGATTGGTGTACATATTTCCCTAACACTATATGCTGGAATATCAATTTTGAAGAGTTTTCTGTGTCTCTACACAACAGCCACTCCATTCTTAATCCACATTCAAAATCCAATTGGTTGTTTGTCTAGTCATGATTTCAGGTTCCAGGCTTCCCAATGGCTTCTTGATATCTCAAATTTCAAATCTGAATTATGTCACTTTAGTTATATAAATTTTTAAAACATCATCAAATTCTGTGTTTTACTGTATGCCATATGAAGGTATTGTCTAAATCTTTTCATCATTAATAATAATTCAATAATCAAAGAGCTCAACTATATCTTAGAACTTATTTTGAACCATTTTTATAAATATTTTATCTACTAAATTAGCTAGCTAAACAAAAAAGTAAGCAAAAAGTATATGGCATATGAGCAGATTGGTTTTATGAGACAAGATTACTTCACATTTTACAAAGCTGCAAGTGAAGTTTCTTTGTTTCTCCCTGTGATCATCCTCTTCCCCAGGGACAACACTGCCCTCTTCTAGTGACTTAAAACCTTTGGACCCAAAGTCTCTCCCACCTCCAGCTGACTATCCCTCAAGGCTTCCCTGGAACATGAACTCTGGCCTTGAACCTGTCCTGACACGGTCCCTGACACTGAAACCTACTGCCAAGGTTTTGCTATATAATGTCCTACTACATAACGGGCTAATCAGTAGTAAGAATTCATGTAAGTATTAAAAACAGTCCATTCATATTGGCCTAACCTACATTAACTGGGCCTTTTAAATATTTAACTCAAAGAACAGACTAACCGTGGGAAGCTCAGACACTGAATCATTCAAGTACGTAAGTGGAATCTTCTGTCATAGGAGGGACTTACAGAGTCGCTGGAAACCATCCAGAATGCTAGTTCTCTGTTCTTTCTGATGCAAAGATGACTCTACTTTGTGTCGCATTTTAAATTAACAATCAAAGACTAAATCATTGAAACAACCATGATAACACCTTCTACTATAAAATATTTTTTTGTGAACCCCTCCAAATATTCTGTTCCTTCTCTCTATCCAACTGGGCAATAGTCTGAAAGTAGAACATTTCTGCAGATTCTCTGCACATATCACCAAGCACCCAGCCTCACCCCCAAAGAAGCTGTAATCTCTACAACTTCATCAGCACATCTCCCTTGGGCTCTTAACTGAAGAAGAAACTGACAGAGCCACTGGTTATCTGAGACTAAGTGCAGGAAAGAGTAATCAGTTTGTTTTAGCTTGATGGAAAAAAAAGAAAAATTAAAAAATTCCTCTCCTGTATCACCCTTTGATAAAATGGGGAATAATGCAAAATACACAAAGGGTAACTGAAAGATTAATTTTCAGTGGTTCCACAATGTATAAGATAATCTATCTCGATCTATAATGTGAAAAAAATATACATTATGGATTGAACTGCATCACTTTTAAATTTTAATGCCCCAACCCTCAATGTGACTGTACTTGGGAGACAGGAGCTACAAGGAGATAATTAAGACTAAAGAAAATCATAAATATGGTGCCCTGATCTGATAGAATCAGCAGCCTTATAAGAAGAAATACTAGAGAGCTCACTCACACACTTGCCCTCTCCCCTATCTCTCGGCCATGTGAAAACACAGAAGGAAATCAGCTACTGCAAGCCAGGAAGACAGCCCTTATCAGGAACTAATCTGCCTGTCACCCTGATCTTGAACTATGAGAAAAAAAACCTTCTGGTATTCAAGCCAACCAATCTATGATATTTACACCAGCCTAAGCAGACTAGAAAAGCTTATCTTTATTGACAAAATTGAAAGAGAAAATTAAGTCAGTGTCAAACCTAGTGTAGTGATAAGCAGTGACAATTCTATAGGGTGCCCAGGTCTAAATGCAATACTGTGAAGCCTCAGAAAGGACTGTGTCCCTAAATCAAACATACATGTGCAAGCACCGCATTGTTTCACTAGTGTAAAACTTGAAAGAG